CTGGGCTGCCCCCACACTTAATGGTTCCTGTCTGACATCAGCCACAGCTGGGGCCTTTTCATTGTGGCGCCCCACTCTGCGGAACGGGCTCCCTGAAGATGTAAGCAGAGCCCCCTTGCTGGAGAGGTGCCACAGGAGGCCTCGGCAGGGAAGGTGGGATATAAATTAAATAGATAAGGCTTGTCTGTTTGCTGCAGCTTTTGCAGTGGTATGAACGATGGGCATTTTTTGGGGGGGGATTTGGGTTTTTTTCTTTTTACGTGGCTTTAATTTGTAAAACTGCAATGATTACTTGTGAGCTGCCTCGAGCCAAGAGGAGAGGTGGCTTAAGCCTGCGCCTCAGCATCCCTCCCTTGAACAGCATCAGTAGCAGCGGGGGGGGGGGGTTGGAGGGCTGGAGGCACAGAGGTGCAGGCTGGGCTTGTACAGGAAGGGGCTTTCTATGTGGGCCGTGTGGGGCCAAGAATAACTGTGACTGGCTCCGGGGTGGGGTGGGGGGTGCACGTAGCAACGGATTCTGCTCCCTGGGAGGAGCCACTGTGCGACTGGCTCCAGCTGGGGGATTCCAGAACTCTGGTAAGCAAAACAAGTGTGCCGTGACTCACAAGAGCCACAAATTTTGCTAAGTCTTCCAGATGCTCCTGGACTCTGGCTCAAGAAAACAACAGGCCTAGAGCCGACTTGGTGTCAGTTAGGATGACACCCTCCCCTGCCAGGTATGGTGCCTCAACAGCCCCGAGGCTTCCCAGCCCAGGAAAGAGGGGCCTCCCATCCCCCCATCCCTCCGCCTGCTGAGCCCCTCACCTCTGCCGTGCGTCTTGGCCTCGATGATTTCACTGATGCGCCCGGCTCCAACGCTGTTCTTGGCTGCCAGCTTCACCTTGTACCACGTCCCACACTTCAGGTTATCCAGCTTGAAGGAACGCTCCGAGGAACTGATGAAGACGTCCTTCCACTCCTCACTATTGTCCACTGAGTACTGGAGCACAAAGCCTGCGGAGACGGAGGAACACAGCAGTTCGTGGGTGTGCTGCTGGGCGGGAGGAGAAGGCAAGGCCCGGCCGGCCGTAGAGTAGAGGGGGGGGGAGCCAACCCATGGCTGAGGACCTGTGGCTGGTGGGACAGCTCTTGCCAAAGCTCTAGACCGGAAGAGAACCCTCACCGCGCGGGGGCGGGGGGGGCAGTTTTCTTATCATCAATGCGTATGACGGCCAGAACAGTGGACCCCAACCCTCCTCTTCCGTTGCTCTCTGAGCCCCAGGACCTTCCCAGGAAAAGAAATGCCAATACTTTTGTGCATGTATTAATCCATTCATGTGCTCAGATTCCTAAAATTATCCACTAAACAGAACATGTGCTTTAACAAGTGAGCCAGTCGGGACAGGAGCAGTTAGCCTGGCTTCCAACGGCTTCAAGGGGGCCAGTCAAAGGCAGGGCTCGTGTCTCTTAGCTCTGGCAATGGGTGGCTGGGGGAGACCACCTGAAAGAGCCCCAGGCCAAGAAGCAGCTGCAGCGGGAAGGACCAATGCTGAAAGTGTGCTTGCTTTTCTGCGAAGCCCCTGATTTTCAAGAGCTTGGTCGTATTTGCTGTGAACCACAAACTCATCTGGACACCTGGGATGAAAGCCCTCAAGAGACACACACACACACACCCCGCGGACTGCAACAGTTTGTACTCCACCATCAAGCTGAGCACAGACCCTGTGCAGCGGGCACCTCCTGGCCACCCATTACTGAGAACCCACCCGCTGCCATTCATACCAGCCCGCTTCCACCACAGAACAACCCACGCCTGTGACCACCGCCTCTGCTCCCACCCTTCAGGCAGGGACTCTCACCTGAAGGAGGTACAGCAGGTGTTCTCAGGGTTACAACAACCCCTCCCTTAAAGAAGTAAAGAAACAGACGGACACCAGTGTTCCCTCTAAGCTGAGTTCGTGTGAGCTAGCTCACAGTTTTTTAGCCTCCGGCTCACACATTTCTGTCTTAGCTCAGGCAGGACGGCTCCAGAGCAAACTAATTTATGCAGCGGCCAAATCACTCGCTCACAGTTTTAATGCCAGGAGCTCACAAAGTAGAATTTTTGCTCACCAGACTCCACAGCTTAGAGGGAATATTGACGGACACAGCCAGGTGCTCACCCTGAAACTGTCCAGCTGCAGCCAGGGACAAAGGTGACAGCAACCGAACACCGCCGGTGCCCCCTGGCAGTGCAGAGCGGCCCAAGACCCCATCCGTGAGCTGCAGCCTTTCCAGGCCAAAACTGCTCTTCTTGCGGAGGCCCTGGGTGGCAGGCCTCCCCCCCTTGCTGACCGCCCCCTCCCCAGCCAGCTCCCCACCGGCCTCACAGAGCTCCCCTCCCCGGGGCCAGATGCCTCCGGATGGCAGCCCCGGCCTTCCCGAGGAAGACTCTTGCCCGCCCAGAGTTGTGCCCTCGGAGGAGGCCGGGGTCAGGTGGCGGGCGGGTAGGACGGGAAGAGGCAGTACGGGAGGGGCACTGTGTGGGTGCTTGACTTGGCAGACCATGCACGCTCTACCTCTGCACCGAGTGGCATTATCTCCAATAAGCTGCCACCCCCCCACCCCCCACCCCGCTGATGCAGAGGAGGAAAAATGCTGCTCCAGCTCCGGGTCAGTGCTCCACATGCCACCCCCCCTCCCTTCTCCCCAACTCTTTCTCTCCGGCAGGGGGCACCGCTTGCTCTCCAAAGGCAGCCGCTGAGGCCCACCTGCACATCCCGCCCACTGTCCCCTGCCGGCTCCCCCTTCCCCCCCCCCCAAGCGGCTGTGCTTCTGGCTTTGGCTGTAGGTGGCCTGCTGGCTCCGTTCTGTTCTCGTGACAGGGAAACTAATCAAGCCACTGGAGGGACTCGGGAGGCTGGCATGTAATTACTCCCCTCTTTTTAATTAATTGCAGCACAGAGGCCTCCTCCCCCTCCTCCTCCCCTCCCCTCCCCAGCTGCAGAGCACCCTGGAGGAGAGAGAAAGGGGACTCCGGGGATGGGGGGTGTTCACCCGAAGGCCCTGGCTCCGCTGTCTGCCCGCAGCAGCACCAAGCAAGGTGCTCGACAGAGTCCCACAGGGGGCAGGTGGGGAACATGGGACCCGGGACCCAGAAACCGGGGGGGGGAACGTGGGGAGGGGCTGTGGCCCAGGGGAAGAGCAGCTGCTTAGCATGCAGGGTCAATCCTGCTCAAGGCAGCAGTAGGAGGTGATGCTGAAGACCTTTCTCTGCCCAAGACCCTGGAAAGCCTCTACCAGTCTGAGTAGAAGAAAAAGGGAAGAAGAGATGGGATTTATACCCCACCCTTCACTTGGAGTCTCAGAGCAGCTTACAAACTCCTCTCCCTTCCCCTCCCCACAACAGACAACCTGTGAGGCAGGTGGGGCTGAGAGAGCTCTTGGCAGAACTGTCCTTGAGAGAACAGCTCTGACAGAGGGCTTGCCCAAGGTCATCCAGCAGCTTCAAGTGGAGGAGTGGGGAATCAAACCCGGTTCTTCCAGATTAGAATCCATGCACTTAACCACAACACCAAACTGGGTAGACCAGGGTTGGCCAAACTTGCTTAACGTAAGACCTACATAGAATAAATGTCAGATGTTTGAGAGCCGCAAGACATGAACAAATATTACATACATGTTTTTATTGGAAAATATGCAAATTTGCTTTTTATTAACGTCAAATGAGACTGCCAAAAATAAAAGCAAAAGGGGTAAAACAGATATTGATAATGATATTTATTTGTCCAATGATATTTATTTGTTTGCTAATGATTTTTATCTAAGAGAGAGAGAGAATGAGAAAGAGAGGTGGAAAGAAAGAAAGAGAGAGAGAAATGAAGAAAGCATAGATGGGAAGGGAGGGAGGAAGGGGGGAGAGAGAGAAACAAATAAAGCAAATAGATGGGGGAACAGAAGGAAGGGAGATAGAGAAAGGTGGAAAGAAAGGAGAGAGAAAGAGAGAAATAAACAAAGCAAATAGATGAAGGAGGGAAGGAAGGAAGCGAGAGAGAAAGGAAGGAAGGGAGAAAAAGAAAGATGATAAAGAAAGAGGTGGAAAGAAAGCAAATAGATGGAGGGTTGGAGGAAGGAAGGATGGAAGGAAGGGGAAGAGAGAGAGAGAGAGAGAGGTCCCCAGCTGCCCTGCTGGGAGCTGCACAATATGTGTGAAAGAGCCAGATGTGGCTCCCAAGTCGCAGTTTGGCCACCCCTGGAGTAGACGGTACTGACCTTGAGGGACCCCCATTGGTCTGGTTCAGTATTAGGCAGCTTCATGCATGCCATAATCCCAGCCACACTCCCTTTACTCCACCTGGCTAGGACTGTACAGAATCTCACAATCTCTTGCATCCTGTGGAATCCTTTTCATAGAATCATAGAGTTGGAAGGGACCTCCAGGGTCATCTAGTCCAACCCCCATGCATGAGGCAGGAAATTCACAAATACCTCCCCCCACACACCCCCAGTGACCATTCTTTCATGCCCGGAAGATGACAAAAAACCTTCAGGACCTCCAGCCAAACTGGGCTGGAGAAAAATTGCTTCCTGACCCCAACGTGATGATCAGCATTTCCCTAGGCGTGTAAGAAAGGGCCACAAGAACTAAGCACTGATGCAACCCTTCCTGTCCTCTCTCATGCCCGGAAGATGACAAAAAACCTCCAGGACCTCCACCCAGACTGGGTTGGAGAAAAATTGCTTCCTGACCCCAAAGTGGCGATCAGCATTTCCCTGGGAGTGTAAGAAAGGGCCACAAGAACTAAGCACTGAGGCAGCCCTTCCTTTCCTCCCTCTCATGATCTGCCTAAGTTCACAGAATCCACATTGCTGTCAGATGGCCATCTGGCGTCTGCTTGAAAACCTCCCAAGAAGGAGAGCCCGCCGCCTCCCGAGGAAGCCTGTTCCATTGAGGAACTGCTCTGTCAGGAAGTTCTTCCTAATGCTTAGCCAAAATCTCTTTTGATTTAATTTCAACCAGTTGGTTCTGGTCTAACTTTCTGGGGTAACAGAAAACAACTCCACACCATCCTCCATATGACAACCCTTCAAAAACTTGAAGATCACCTCTCAGTCGTCTCCTCTCCAGGCTAAACAGA